TTTTAACTTGCTGGTGGTAGGCGAGGTGTGCTGCCTGCGAGGTACGCACCTGAGAAAGAAACGAGTTGCTGTTTAAACACCGAAGGTTGCGATTAGAAACGCGGGTTTCAGGTCTACAGCTAACAGCGGGTGTTCTGAGTAAACCCGAAGATCTCACGCTGCAGGACAGAGGCTGCTGACTTTCCTGTGTGAGGGGGGTGTTAAGTGAGAACATAAACGTGTGAGGCTGAGGGAAACGCAGAGAAGGTGCTGCTGGCTTGCCAGTAATGCAGGGGTTGCTGCCAGGTGAAGCGGATGGCCCCAATGCTGCGCGCTCATACAGCTGGGTGCTTCTCAGGTCTGTTCAGGATGCACACAGAAATGGAAGGGAGATGAAAAGAACACGGGTGGATTTTGATGAACATGAGCTTAATACAGCTTAAAAAAAAAATCGTAGTAGAGAAAAAGTAGTGGCCATCTGCGTGAAGCACATAACTATGGATAGCTCTTCATTTCTTTTTCCTTCAAGCAGCTCTGCAAAAGATGGATTTCTGTACAAAATCAGACACATAATACAGTTTTGGCATGTTTTGAGACATAAAGTTGAAACCCCACTTTTTCAGTTACTGCAAGTGGAACAACAGTCTTCCTTTAAAACACTTATGATTTTTAAGACCTGACTGAATACTCATAAGTTTTGTACTGCCTCACGCTAAAAATATGAAAAATAGTTTCAAACTGAAGATTATTATTACTATTCCTTTCCGTATTTCTGAAAGTCTTGTGACAAAACAGTGTTTTGTCATATAGAAGGGAGGGAGAGAATTCAAATAAAAGAAGTGGTGTAGAAATAAAACTGCAAAAGCATTCCAGGAGAGCTTAGGAGGCAGAGTATCAACATGTGCTGGTTACCTTGATCTAACATCCCTTTGGATCTAAACCAAACCTGTGGATTCAGGTTTTCTTAACTGCTCAAATGTTTGGAAATGAGATGATTCAAGTCAAAATGCATGTTCATAGTTGAATTTTGCAAGTTTCCCTTAGCTTTTGACTCGCAAGAACTCTGCAAACAGACATTGGAAGAACTTTGGCTTTCAGTTTGACTTCGGCACGTTGTTGTTTGGCTCTTGCACACTAGTTATCTGTTCGCATTTACTGTAAAGAATGACTGGAAACCTAGCCTGCAACTAGGTTGTTGAAGCAACTTCTGGAAGGGGTTGTTTCCTTCTCTTTCCCCCACCCCCTTAAAATTTTTTTTCTTATGGGATTTGTTTGCAATCTGCTAGCTGAAGCTCTGAGGCAAGTTTGCCAGATCTGAGACTGCATCATCGTTCTGCACATCTGGAAGTAGTTTATGGGCTCTCATTCCTCCAGTGCGGCGTCTGGACTCTGTGTTATTCCTCAGCAGCAGAGAAAGAAAAGAAAGCCAGCACAACTCCAAAGTAAACTTTGAAGAGTTTGAAAAAGGAATTGAATCTTAAAACTGTTACTGTGCCCTGTAAGGCCCTTGCGTGGGGGACTTCAAAGGAGGATGATGGTCAAGGAAGCTTTGGCAAGAGTGCTTACAGCTGTGGGCTATCTAGGATCCGAGTAAATAGCTCTACAGCTCTTCAGGAGAGAAGAGTTCCGAATACTGTGCTGCTTTGAAGAGGTAAAAAGACTAATTAAGGAGGAAATATCTGAGCAGTAATGTCACTGTTTCTGAGCTTTCCCTTCTGCAGCCCCTCATTTTGTTAGAGGATTTGGCAACTGAGTTAGAGACTGCCAGGTTCCAGGAACTAATGTCTACAGTCAGGAAAAATTGAGTAAATATTTGCAGGGGAACAAATATTCCTCTCTTTCCTTAAAAATCAGTGGGTAATCAGTCTGAGTTTCTGAGGCTTAGGAATGCTGTAGTTTTAGAACTCAAACTTGTATGAGAGTCTGTCTGAGTTTGGATTTCAGAGTTTAAAACGTGGTTCAATTTATGTTGATTTAATAATTTCTGAAGATATCATGAGGCTGTGGCTATCCAGCTTTCATCTTGCAGTGATCATCAGTATTGTTTGTGACTATCATTACAAATCTTAATTAAAAGATAGTAGTCAGCTCTATGGAAATCGGTAGAAGATTGCTATTAGCTGAAGTGAGGTTAGAAAGTTACCCTAAGAGTGTAAGGGGTTCTGTTGTCTCTCTGCTTATCTAAACAAGTAAACTTTTTTAATGGATAGGAAGACAATACTTGTGCATAATGCGTGAGAAAAGGGCTTTCTCAGCAGTGTTTTTTTTTTTTGACCGATAAGCTTGATTTCCTCTCTCTGTAAATTAATGCCACATGAAGAAAGCAGGCTGCTGGAATGTAGATAAGTACCGCAGATGCAAAAGGACTTTCAGAAATCCTCCTCTCTCACTACGATTTAGTCATCTGTTGGGACCTAAATACATGCGAATATAAGTGGTTTGTAAGCAAAGCCACATCCTAGCTTTTTTATATATTTTTATTGTCATTTAACTTGTTAGTCAAAGTCAAGACTAATTTAGGATGCCGCCTGAACTTGAGCATTAACCAATGAGAGGCGGTCAGTTTTGTGACTCAGGTTTCAAGAATTCTTGCTGTTCTGTCTGCCTTCTCAAGGAGTTGGAATAAACTTCATTTTTATGTGTGCATAGAAACTGTCACATATCCTTATCTATGCTGTAATGTGTCCATATCTGCATGTATAGAAACAGGAAAAATTGGGTTTTGTCCTATGTATAGCTACCATAGCATAAAGGTTAGATCACATAGTTGTATTCCTGTCCCCCCTCCTTACCCCAACTTGTGGTGCTGTTTTTTACTGTTGTGGTTTTTTTTTTTTCTTTCCCATAGAGAGTAGTTTTGGGTCCAGAATTAAAGTGAATGTTGTATTTCCCATAATCCTGTATTTTAGGGATTATGTTCTGTCCTTTCAGGCATAAAGTTATGGCCACTCTTGGGCCTGGTTTAGAGGCACAGTTTTAGGGAAGGCTACCCCATTTTCTTCAGCATCACAAATAATGTGCTTAAATAGAAGCCACATTGCACGAACTCCCCCCCTTACTGTTAGTGGAAGGATACTGCTGTTAGAAAATATTTTCACTATTGCTCTGAAATTTTTTGAGAGTCTGAAAGACACTGCTCCAGTATAAGATTCCCATATGTTTGGGAACATACTCCAGCAAGAGGTTAGTATTTGTGATTGTTATTAAGTTTTAGGTGAGATCAGAGATAAATGTAAATGTATTTACAAATTGTATCAGTGGGTGTTTTGATACTTCTTTGCACATTGCTTTAAAATGTGTTAAAAAATCATAGTTATTACTGATGTAGGTGATTGGACGGAATTTATTAAAATGCTGTTCTTTTTGGCCTATTAGTAGCTTAAATTAAAATACGTAGTAGTTCTAGCCCAGAATATTACTTATTTGTTCCAAAAAAGTTATTTACAAAGATAGAGGTCAGTTTTACTTTTACCAGGTCAACAGCAAAATTTGATGATGCAAAGCCATGTCCCTGAAATAACTAACTGGTATTCACTGCTGGTATTAATGATTTTTATCTCTCTCTCTCTTTTTTTTTTTTTTTTTTTTTTTTTTTTTTTTTTTAATTTTACTACAGATCACAGTTCTCATCCAACAGGACACATGGCTCTTTTAAAGAAAAGTAAGAGAGATTAAAAACATTTGAAATATATATTTTTAAAAGAGGACAGAAATGTCAAATGCAATTTCTCATGCAACTGTTGTCACAGTTCATAGTTCTAGTTTTGCTAAATTATGCTTAACTTCATACAAATAAGCCTTTTCCTGTTAACTAAGTCAGATAAGTTCGACCATAATTCCCATTAATTTAAAATTACTGCTTTACTGCATGAGACTCAGGGGTCTGGAATTTCCCACTAAGAGTGCAGGTAGCTACTGTTTTCATGTGAGTTGTGCCTAGAGCACCAAACCTGGCTTTTTTACAGAACTCTACACATTAATGCTTTTCATACCAGCAGTTGAGCTGTGGCCCCAAGAAATTTGCCGTTGTCATCAGCTGTCAGGGTCAGTGACTGAAAGTGGACCAGTGTCCGCCTTCAGTCAGCTGGTTTAAATTAATGCAGGTTTGGTGATGTATGTTTACCAATATAAATTTATTCTCATGGCCAGTTCTGGCCAGTTGGCCCTTTTGTTTGAAATAGTTCAAAACTTTGTTCCCTTTGCTCTTTTGTACACCTTAAATACCTTTTATGGTGGTGCAAAAGTAACAAAGCAGTCTGATACAAAGAACTCCCGTCATCAAAGTCACTGTTGAAGATGGCAATGTATTCCTTCCCTGTTGTTCTCAGTGAACTGTCCTGGTACCTGCTCACAGTTGGTTTATGTTGAATAACTTAAACTTGTACAAGACAGTCTGGTTGGAACTGCAAATCAGAATATACAGTAAGGTCTTTGCTGTTGCATGCTTTGTTTTGATTTTACTAATTAAAGTAATTATGTATTTTCAGATACTTTGGAACATTTCTGGTTTCAGTAGCATGCTGGGTGTGTTTTTCTAGTATTTTTAGAGTTTTGCTCAAATACATCTTGAAGATCTGAACATTGAAATCCAATAAAAATTTCTTCTGTGTTTGAAGTTTTATTAGGGAAGTGTGAGAGAAGGAAAGGGCTAGGTAAAAATGATTAACTCATGAAGTCCTGTGATGATAAAAAACCCAACAAACTAGCCAAGAAAAGAAAGTTCCAATCTCCTGGTAGAATTCAGAAATGTGAATTTCCTAGTATGGATAACCCATATATATTGGGAGCTTAATGATTGAGTGAGCAAATTATCCGTGAAAATTAGATAGTTGGAAATTAGTGTAATGGGGGAGAAATACTATTATGTTTTTAACATAAAATTTTTAGCTTGATCAAATAACGAGAGAAAGGAGAATTTGATAAACACAGCAAATACAGGTTATGATATGTATTGGTTGAAAATTGGATTTTTTTTTTTTAAAAGGTACTTGGAAATCAGCTATTATACTGATTGTTAACAAATTCTCCCTTTTGTTTTAGTTAACCAGATCTTACTGTTACTTCTTGTCTTAACTGTGTGCGCCATTCTGTATAACAAAGTTCACCAAGTGCCATCTGCATTAAAGAATGAAACAGGTAAATGACTTGTACTTCTGTTTCATTTATGTTCTTGTTTTATAGTCCTTATGTCCTTATTTGAACAGTGCTTTTTGTCTTACTGAATCCTGTTTGCCCTGCAGTCGATGAGCTACTCACACTGTTGCATATGGTCTGGGATGCAGAATTTTTTGCTTCTGAATTACTTGAATAAAATAGTAGGAGACTGATAGTAATGACTAAGAATTGTCATTCTGATTCAAGTTTTTATCCAGATGTCACTGATGTAGATGGAAGCTGGAGTATATCCTTATTTGTGGTGAACAGTATTGGAGTTGTCAAGTGATAAACTTTGATCGCAACTTGCCCCTTTGGGAATGTTCTTGGCCAACTTATTCATCAGATAGATCATCAAATCTTGACATAATTTACAGCAGAAGTTTTTGCTGGAATTTTTATAGTGACAGAAACCTGCTAGGGTTGATATGGTTGGACTGGTATTAAATGTTTATACTAATAGCTTATTCAGTGTTCCTAAGATAAACAAACTCTGTCTTGTTATAAACCTTTTTTTTTTTCCAGTATATTTTTGTTGGGGCTGTTATGAGTTTAAGGGTTATGTTTTAGCCAGTATAAATATATCCATAGAAGTTCTTTGAGTTAATCAGTGGCAGGGATAAAAATCTTCTTTAGCTGTAATGTGAACTGATTCAGTATTGTTTAGATTTTTTTCTCCATTTATCATTAGCAACTTCCTGTTGGTACAAAATTTTGCACTGTTCCTTTCTAGCCTGCTTCCCAAAGAAGTGAAGCTCGTGCAATTGCACCATCTCTTCGCCTTACTTCTTTCCTTTGCTAATTTTGGAACCTGTTGTTCAATTTGTACTAAATATAACTGAGAAGTAGAAGTCTCAAAGGTATTCAAACTTCTTCAGGTTTCATGTGAATAAGCAGCTACATGGAGGACAGGCTGAATTGTACCCCTGCTGAGTAGAAGATGCCGAGAACTGTTATATATTCTGTTTGGAGGCATCCAACAGTCCAGTCAACCTGCATGTAGTTCTGGATTAGCGACAGCTCATGCTGTGTGCCTTGCCAGATGCGGATGTGTATAGGATGTGGTAAGGAAATGGGGTGATTGTGATACGATTCCACTGCTTATGGAACTACATGCTCATTCCTATGACCCAGATCTGATACAAAAAGGTTTTAAATTTTCTATTATAATGCATAGTTTTGTTTCTTGTAGTTGATTTGGAGAGTCCTGAGGAAATGGAAGAAGAAATCCCAGTCGTAATCTGCGCTGCTGCGGGCAGAATGGGTGCAGCTATAGCAGCAATCAGTAGCATCTACAGCAACACAGAAGCTAATGTTTTGTTCTACATAGTTGGGTTGAAGACTACTATCCCACATATTCGGTATATACCGGCCTTATTTTGTTTCATGCTGTAGTTAGGACCAGGTGGTTGTTCTCATTAGCACGGGCATAGACTTTGGAGGACTTTTCAGGGAATTGTTTTCTCCCTTTTATTTAAGTAGTGCCATTGGTAGCAATCCTCAGGATTCTCTGTGTGTACGAAAAAGGACCATTTTGCCCTATGCAAGTCACTGACTGGTGTAAAGGGGTGTGAAATAGCCAGACCATGCCCATACTACATGGCCTCTCTGCCTTTTGTAGATCGGCTGCAGAAGCGTCTGTAGTAAGGTAAGTATACACATACTTACTTGTCACAATCCCACTTTGTGGTGCTGCACTTACCTCTCATCTGGCACTGTGTCTTAAGCTTCAGAGTAGAAAAACTTGCTGTTTAAAGCTAATTTCAGCTAAGAGGGTGTATTGAAGGTTATAAATAGCGGCCCAAAGAAGCTTGTAATAAAAGCACGTTTGGGTGTTAAAATTTGCAAACGTTGTCTAAAAGAGGAAAAAGGTGTGAATCAAAATTAAAGCAGATTTGTTAGCAGTTCTCACCTCTGGCTACTGTGCTTCTGTAGCCTGCGTAGCCCCAATTTGTGTCAAAGCGAAAAGATGTAATAATGAGTGGGGTTCCACAGGGAGTTATTCCCACCCAGTTCGTCAGTAACCTAGATAATAGAGTGGAAAATGTTCTTTATGAATCTGCAGCTGAAGAGAAGAGACAGCAGATATATTGAGGACAAGAGCTGAAAACAAACTAATCATGATGAGTTGGAAAAATGAACTGTAAAATACGATGAAATTCAGTAGAGGTAATGACAAAGTAATATAGGTGGGAATAGCTGATTGTAAGGAAAAGTGTGGTCTTTAGTTTTAGGTGCCTTCAGGAAGGATTTAGAAGAGAGGTCAGAGGAGAAAATAAGCAATGGTGTCAAGAAATCCGACAAAATAATGAAAATATTAGTTTAAAGAAAATATAGTTAGGAGGTGATGTGGCAGCCTTCTTGAAGGATGTAAAACTGTAAAAGGGAGAAAACTAACCTCTGCTTTAAAAGCACAGTAGATAGGATAAAAAAAAGGTCTTTAACTATAGCAAGAAGACGTAGAAAAATAGCATCTAATGCTAACAGTGGTGAAAGATGGGTTGTTTGGGCAACATGTGGAGTCTGTGTTTTTGGCATTGGCGTGAGGTGTTTGCGTTGTTAGAGTTTTGGGGTGGTTTTTTTTGGTTTGTTTGTTGGGGTTTTTTTAAGAACAGGTTAAACAAACATCTTTGTGCAATAGCTGTACACATAAGTGATTCTGTCTTGGGATAGAATAGATTGAGCGAGCTTTCAAGGTCTCTTATTCTCCTATGAGTCTGTGAATTTAATACTGGAAGTACTTGCCACACACTCAATATTTCTTTTATCACTTCTTTTTTATCACAGAAAATGGATTGAAAATTCTAAACTGAAAGAAATAAAATTTAAGGTTGTGGAATTCAACCCTATGGTACTAAAAGGAAAAATCAGACAAGATGCATCGCGTCCTGAGCTACTGCAGCCTGTGAGTAAATGAACACCGCATAACAAATTTTCAGTGTTTTTTTTAAGACTTATTACAGGCTTTAAAATGTCCTAGATCTCTGTTCCGTTATACAGGGTGGGGTGTAGACCAGAGAAGCACATCAGGTCCAAATGCTGAGCCCTCACTCAAGAAGAAAAAGTGCACTGTAACAAGCTCCTTGCAACTTGTCTGTCTTGCTGGGGCCTCGTTATTTAGTGGCATAAACTTGGTAATTTTAACTTCTCATATCTTTAAGGATATATTCACAGTTTATATATATAAACTGTTTATACAGTTATTATATTCACAGTTTATTAGTGTTCCTTGTGCCTCCGTGATACTGAGTTGGCTGCATTCTGCTCATGTCCAGGGTTAACTGAGAGGCTAATGACTAACCTACATATTACTGGCTGTCAGAAGAGGCAAATCAGATGTTAGAAATTATTAAGAAAGGAGTAAGGATCAAAATACAGAACATCATTATGCCACAGTACAAATCCATAGTTTTCCCTCACCCTAAATACTACGTGCAATCTTCATCCCCTTATCTGAAAAAGATGTAGCACTACCAGAAAACGTTCAGGTCTGCTCAGAATGTTTATTCTTCTCTGAGCCTGTGACATTTCTAATATATGGAAGAGATTTCATGCAAAGAATCAGTGGGTTGAAACTGTTCAGCCTGGAAATGTGACTTCTAGTGTGAAAATAGTAAAGGTCTACAGAACTGAGTGGTGCGGAGGACTGGATGGGAGATGGTTGCTCACTGTCTCTTCCAATACAAGAACTAATGGCCATTAGCTTAAATTAGCAGGAGTCAGTCAGAACAAACAATGTGGCACATTTTTCATGCAATGAGTACCGAACCTCTGGAATTCCTTGGTGAAAGGTCTTGTGAATGTAAAAATTTACAGGGATTCCGTGAGGACTGAAGTTTATATTTAGACAGATCACATCTGGTTCAGGAAATCCCTGGAGCTGAAAATAGCTGAAAGCTAGGAGAATAGTTGGAGCAACTTCTCTTTATGCTTGCCCTATTCTTATTTTTCACTGAGCATCTGCTTAGGACCACTCTGAAGGCAGGTGCTGGGTAAAAAGGTCTGAATCAGTATGGGTGTTCTTACCGTCTCAGTCCCCTTTCCCTCTGCTATGTTCTTAGTTGCTATTGTAGAAGTTGTTATCCCATGTCTGTGCCACCAGTCAAATCATTTCTATAGAGTGGAATGATGACACTTGAATTTGAAGTGTTTTAGCATGTATGTTGTAAAAATGTATTAGGAAGCACATTGCCAGCAGGTCCAGGAAGGTGATCCTTCCTCTTTACTCAGCACTTGTGAGGCTGCGTCTGGAGTACTGTGTCCAGTTCTGAGCTCCCCAGTACAGGAAAGATATGGACTTACTGGGGTGAGTTCAACACAGGGCTGCAAAGATGGTTAAGGTACTGAAGCATGAGGAGAGGTTGAGAGAGCTGGGGCTGTTCAGCCTGGAGAACAGAAGGCTCAGGAGGATGTTATCAATGTGTATAAATACCCGAGGGGAGTGATGAAGGCAAGGGAGCCAAGCTCTTCTCAGTGGTGCCCACTGACAGGACAAGAGGCAATGGGCACAAATTAAAATACATGAAATTCGTTCTGGACAAAAGAAAAAAAATTATTTTTTTTTTTTTTATGGTGAGGGTGGTCAAACACTGGAGCAAGTTGCCCAAAGAGGCTGTTGAGTCTCCATCTGTGGAGATATTCAAAACCCAGTCGGGCATGGTCCCAGGCAGCCTGCTGGAGTGGACCCTTCTTGAGAAGAGGGGTTGGGCAAGATGATCTCAAAAGGCCCCTTCCAACCTAAATGATTCTGTGAAGAAGAAACTGTTTTGGGCTGCTTGGTTAGGGCCATAGTAAATAAAATAGGGATTAATAATAATAATAATAATAATAATAATAATAATAATAATAATAATGGGTTCAAGATACTAGTACTAGCTGGGGGAGAGGAAGCAAATGATTATTGGCTAGTGCTCGGTGAAGAGAGAAATTAAAACTGATTGTTAATAGAGACAGAAGCGTGAGACTACTACATTAAGCAGCTTTACCATTTAGTCTTTACCTTTTTTTTTCTGTTTAATAGCTGAACTTCGTTCGATTTTATCTTCCTTTGCTTATCCAGAAACATGAGAAAGTAATATATTTGGATGATGATATCATTGTTCAAGGTAAGCTGTCATCCAAAAAGCAGTTTCTAGCAGAATTAAAATCAAAGTTATAGTAGCTTTTACAGTTGTTTGGAAATATGGGATATAATGGAAACCGAGGCAGCTGCTAAGAGTGTTGCACTCAGGAAAGATACAAATAATCTGTTTGCTTGTTTATTTAAAAGAAAGTCTGAAGAAGAACTTCTCTCTGTATGTCTTTTGAATAGTTGATTTTGATCAAAATTGTATGTATGGATTTCATTTTAATTGAATGTGGTCATTTGCTGAAAGGTATAATGGATTTCACTTAGATGCTGCAATATTTATTGTTAAGTACGTGACATGCATTTCTTGCTAGTATTTGAATTCCCACAAATGCTACCAGTTCCTTATGCAGAATTGCTGTTCTTGAGAGCAGGAGGAATTTACTCAAATAAGAGGGTTAAAATTCTAAACATTTAAAAAGGTGATTTTGAGCATCTTCAGCTCAGGATCCATAGCAATTTGCAGAATCGTGATCAAAGACTTCAGAGTTCCTAGACAAATGGGAGCAGTTAGAAAACATTCAAATCCTGAAAAATCTTTTTTTTTTTTTTTTTCATACAAAGAAATCTAATTAGAGGAACAATTTTTTTTAAAGATTAATTTATGTTTTTTTCTCTTCTGTTTCTCATTATATTTTTTCCTCTGTAGACTTATTGTCCTCCCTTGCTTTATCATATTGTTTTCTTGTTATTTTATAACACTTTTTAATCAGTGTTGTGGTTTAACCCTGGTGGGCAGCTGATCACCACGCAGCCGCTCACTCGCTCCTCCCCATCCCTACCCCCAGTGGGATGGGGGAAGAGGAAAGGAAGAATAAAGGCAAGAAAACTTGAGGGTCAAGATAAAATTAACAAACAAATAGTTGTTTAGTAAGTGAAGGGTAAGTGGAAGAAGAGAAAAGTGAGTTCCCGAGCAAAAGCTGGCTAACCCCTCTAAGACCCCCCTCTTTTTCCCTTGTATTGGCGAGCGTGACGTTCTACGGCGTGGGAGATCTCTCTGGTCAGGTTGGGTCCCCTGCCCGGTTGAGTCCCCTCCCCGCCCATTGCGCACCCCCTGATCTGTTCACCGAGGGGACAGAGTGAGAGCCAGAGAAGGCCTCGGTGCTATGCAACTGCTGTTGAGCAAAAGCTAGAACATTAGTGTGCTGTCAGTAGCGTTTTGGTCAAAAATCTAAACCACAGCACCATATGAGCTGCTATGATGAAAATTAACTGTATCCTAGCCAGGCCCAGTACGCAGGGACAACAAACCCATTTTACCTATCCTTGTTAAACAGATGTTCCAGTGAAAACTTCCTTTCGAAAGGACTGAGTATAACTATAGTAAACTTTTTGGCTGGATTAATCTTTGATGTAAGAACGTTAAGATCGGTGAATTTACACATGACGAAAGTATAATTTTATTCTCCACTGCTTCTCTGCACCTTTCTGTAGTTTTGTCTCTCTAGTGGCAGATTTCAGACCATCTGCCCTTAAAGGGGCCACTATTAGCTGCTTTATAAAATATGCTTAATCTGCTCTGCCTTCTCATTTTAATTTGCGATAGACTTCATATCACGGTTTCTTCAACATGTGTGTTTCTAGTGGTTATCTCTGCTTTTTGGTTTTGTTATTCTGTCTGTCATCAATGGGCAACAGCAATATTTAACTCTTTGAAAGGTTCTTAAAGTCTTCACTCACGCTCCAGTTTCACAAGCGCTTTAAGCTGAGCCCACCGCTTCCCCTGCATCCCTCCTTGCACCTGCGCAGGCGTTCACCAGAAATGTGATTACTTTCAGCCTGCATTAGTTCCCTGGTAGGAGTCAAGGCAGCGTAGCTAGGAGAGGAGGGGAGGCAGGGCTTTCTCTTTCCTTAGGGGTGTCAGCTTATGCCGGCTGATAGTGTGTCTGGAGCCAGCTTCATGTTACAGCTGACGGTAGGCTGCTGCTGACGGAAGCGGCCTCTCCTGTCCCCAGGCAGCTCCTGTTTCTTGTGTCCTATCTACAGCTGTGCAGCTGCAGAATCAGCTGATTCAGCTGGTTGACCTGGCAGAAGACTAGCAGCACAAAAAAAAACCCCAACTTTTTTTTTTTCCCTTCTTTTTTGTTTCTTGGCTTCAGGCAGCCTAACTTGCTCACCCTTGGGCCACGCAATCATAGGGCCCAGAAGAAGGGAATAGAGATGGACGTGTGGGGAGTGAGGCAGAGGGAGGGAGCCTGCTCCGGCAGCCGCTCCCCATGTCTTAGCTGTAACATGAGGCTGTGCTCTTTGTCGGATGTCTCTGGAACGGGAGCGATTGAGACTTCTGACAGGCTAAGGAGTGAATGGGGTTTTCAGGGTTTAACTTTGGGATCGTTTATTTGTTGGTCATATTCTTACTGTGTTGCAGAAAGCAGAAACATACTGACCTTGGGGTGTCACCCCAGAATTGTTAGGTTTGATTTTTTTTCTTTTCTCTTTTTCTGCTTTTTTTTCTTGAAAAGTAGAAGCTATTTAGAATCAGAAAAAAATACCTAGTGAGGCATGTTGATCTTCAACAATGAAGTGTCCCATTAATTCAAATTCTGTTTCTTGGTGGGGCATGAGTCCTAACCCAAGTTTTCCAACCAGCTGATGAGTTCAGACAAATAAATAAGCTCTGCTTATTTCAGAAAGAGTAGTTCCACTGTTTGCAGTATGAGGAATGTTTTCGGTTACTAGTCTTTTAACGAGCTCACCTCAGGCTACTGGGCCATATGTGGCCTTCCAAGAGAATTCATCTTACCTCTGACTGACCCGTGCCCAGCAGCAGAGCTGGTAGCTGCAGGGGGGTTGGATGCAGGGCTCATTTAATTGCTGTGGCAGCGCTGTGCTTCCCACCCGCCCTGAAACCGTTCTGGCGTGTCATGGGTACCTGCTAGGCAGAGGATGAGCGAGATGCCACGCGTCACGTTGTTTCCCTCCAGCAGGATGGGGTTGGGTGGTCTGTGAAGCCAGCAGGGATGGTCAAGTGTGACAGGCGCATTTCAACTGACCACTGCTGGGAATCCAGATATCTTACTGGCAGGTATAAACACAATAACACCAGGAAAAAACTGATCCATGCATGAGATTGAAGTGGCACTTTTGTGGGACTTGAAGAGGCTCAGAAAAATTGCCTGTGCCCTCCTTCTCCAAAGGCAAGCGCTATGAATGTATAACTTGGTAACTAGGCTTCTTAACCGTATAATCGGCTCCTGCTGTAGCTGGTTTTGGACGTTCAGACCAGAATGTGGATGTACTGAATACTGACGATAATATCTAAAGATAGACCTTAGACATCCAGGTACAGGACTCAAATTTGAAAATTGTCCCATATTACATAATTCAGCCTTCGTTAATATCAGGGCTATCCCCTAAAATTGGTATGTTTGCAAGTAACATACATAAGAACAGAAGTTATCCTGTCAACTCTGTAGCAGTGAAGTAGGTTTCTTCTTATGCTGTTGACCTTTCTGTAATCAGGTGACATCCAGGAACTCTACGACACTAAGTTAACTCCTGGACATGCCGCAGCTTTTTCAGATGATTGTGATCTGCCTTCTACACATGAAATGGTTAGAAGTGTAGGGATGCAGGTAAGATGCCATTTTGGAATTTTAATAATGAATGTATTTACCCACAAATGTAAGATGATTTTATACATTTTCTCCAAAGTGAAAGTTGGTTGTTTTTTTTTTTTAATAGTTTTGTAATAGTTTTACAGGTAATTAAGAACTACTTTTTGTAGTAACTCTGTAATGCTATGCAGAGTTGTTTCCTGTAATAATTTAAATCTCTATTGTTCTTTGGATTCTACTAAATTATGTTTGGTATTTAGCTATCAGTAGATCATGAGCACTTATGGAACATCTAATGAAGACAGAATATATGATATTTGTATTAGTCAAATTTGGAATGAAACTCAGGAAAACAGGTTTAAAGGCTAATTCCTGAGCTGAGTTCCCCAGAGTTGTCAGTGAGTCCCTCTAGCATTACAGCTGTACAGGCCTGATGCTACATCATTTAGAGTAAGCTACAGAAAGACAAACATGTGGTGAGGGAAGAGCCCAATCAAACTCCCATGGAACAATACTGTGGAAAAAGTAATTCAGTAGCTGGAAGTATCCTGCCTTTCAGCCTTGTGTTATATGGAAATCAAGACAGGTAACCATCATCTAGAAATTCAGCTTTGGGACCGTGCGTTTAGTCTCTATGTGAGTGGTAGAGAGATGCATTTACACTTACCTTTACAGAGATTCATAAGGGATAAACATACTTTTTTTTAAATTTCTTAGAACACGTACATGGGATTCCTGGACTACAGAAAGCAAGCGATCAGAGATCTTGGCATCAGCCCCAGCACCTGCTCCTTTAATCCTGGAGTAATTGTTGCTAACATGACTGAATGGAAACATCAACGGATTACAAAGCAGTTGGAAAAGTGGATGCAAAGAAATGTAGAGTATGTGTAGAAATCTAGCTTTGCGCTTTACTTTTAATCCTCAGTTTAGTGTCTAATTTTCTGTTTATAAGCTCTTAAAAGTTTGTAATGCCGAAGTCTCTCTTTGGGATCTCATCAAGCAAAGTAACTCATGCTCCAGAATTTCCCTCTGCTTAAATCTGACCAATCACGTACCAGGAAGTGGCCACCTGGAATTTTAGTCTCGTGTTTGATCACAAACCACACTTAATCCTGAGGGATGCTGAGAACACCTGTTTCTTGTTTTGGGTGACCAGCCTCACTTGGGATCAAGCCACTTAACAATCTTCCCTTCCTGAGCCTGGCTTAAAGGAGGAGGAACGTTGCCTTGTTTGTGTGGGGTCTCTCCTATTGTAATGTCAGCCAAACTGCAATTGGGTGCCGTATTTCTTAAATACCAATAGAAAACGCTTCTTTTTCTACAGATGAATGAAATTTGACATGAAGGATATCTTTTTGGCATTGACCATGAATAGGTCATGACGCAGTGAAACAATCACTGTTCATTTTTTGTGTTAGTTCACTGTTAACCTGTATTTGCAAACTTGACATTTACTTTCTTTCTCTGCAAAGGGTTAAATTTAAATTTAGTAAGGCTAAACTGAAACTGAGTAGCTTGTGCTGTTGGACTGTGTCCATTACTTGTTAGTTTCAGAAATGAAGGGAGGAGAGACACCAATGATAAAGCCTGTGAAGGAAGGAGAAGCCAAATGTCTGTCTTGTGTTCTGCTTATCTAACATAACCTGACAAGCTATTCCTATGCTTTTTAAGAGTTCGATAAAACTCCATAAATATTACTGCAAATTTAATCTACAAAGATGATTTTATACCTGAATAACACATTCATGTTCCTTTCGGCTGGATTTTGAAATGGCAATGAAATAAAATAGCTTAGCAGTTGAAACGCAGTTTTGAGGGGAGGTTATGATTTTTTTTTTTTTTTAATGCAAGTGCATCTTTCAGCACTTGCCAGGTTTCCTCCCTGTTGGGCTGGCGGGTGGCAGCGTCCCATAGCTGGGGTGGCTTCGCCCATGTGCTGACTGCCCGGCCAGGCCTTCAGCACACTGTGGCCGGGCAGTCTGGCTGCTACCTCCTAATGCCTCACCTTACAGTGATTTGGCTTTACCTCGCCCTGGATTTATCACAAAATTCTTAGGAAATGGATATCCTTTAGATGTTAGTTTGTACTAACTAGACTTTGGCAAATCTGATTTGAAGTTAATTTATGGGTCTAAAAGCTGGGGGGGGGAAGACAGAGGGAATGAAATACATGGAAACACGTACATTTTCTTGAGAAATCAGGCTAAATTATGTTTGATTCCTTTATGTTAACAGCAATTTTTCTACTGTAAACTTTGCCAGCCTTGTAGACTATAGGCAGTGTGTAGAAGTAATTGGCTTCATGTTGGGTCTGACTCCCGTTTTGCTTGGTAGCAACGATTTCCTCAACAGGAATTGGAGCTGCAAATAGGAAGGAGCATGCCGAAAACCGGTCTGTTCAAAATGATTTTGAATTTTGCCAGAACCCTTTTTTTAATCTTCTGACTTTTGTACTAAATACTTTTTGATTGAGGTTTTGAACATTTTCTGCATCCCCCCCCCACCTTTTTGCAGGGAAAACCTCTACAGCAGCACCCTTGGGGGAGGTGTGGCAACCTCTCCAATGCTGATTGTATTTCACGGGAAGTACTCCACTATTAATCCTATGTGGCACATAAGGCATCTTGGTAAGTTTAACTTCCCGCCGTTTGCAGTTGGAACTAAATAAAGCGAGCGGTTTGTAAGATTCCAATATAGGACGTTACGTTACTTTACCCCAATGCATTACTTCACACCTCAGATCCACAGCATGTAATCCCTGCTTCCCCCAGCGCTCTTGAGTCCTGCTTTCTTCAGGGCAGGGCAGAACGTGGGGGTTCCCCACGGGTGTCATTACGCAAACACCTTAACAGCTCAAGAGAACAAAATAATTGCATCCCTGCAAAAAAACCTGAACCCTAATAGTTATTAAATTGGCTAAAAAAAGGAAAAAGACAAATACCAAGGACAGAGTTACGTCTGAAGACCAGCTAACCCATATTGTCATAAACTATGGAAACAACATAGGAAAGACCCGAATATAGTGAGAGTCTGAAGAAACCCAGACATTCTTTCAGTAGGCACAGTGGAAGAAGATGGGACGCCTGGCAGCGTTCGTGCAGCCAGCATTCCGGAGGATGTAGTTACCTTTCACCTGGGAATGGTGAATTATCCTGGGGAGACCATAATGGCTTAGCTGCTATAGTGAAATGAATAGTAAAAGGATTATTATTTTTTTTTTAAGCCCTAGCTATGCCAAAACCTTAAACATGTTAAGAGAGAGGAAGCTTGCTGAGATTTTTTTTCTAATTCCGCATCAGAGAGGCATGAAGTTGAAAAAAAACTAGTCTACCATACAACTAGTTGTCTATTGACAGGTGAAACTGTACTGATCAGGCTTTAAAAAAAAAAACCCAAAACTGAATGTATCTCACTCCATAATGTCTTCCATTATTAAAAACTGGATTTTTTTTTTTTTTTTTAATGTACCCATGCAGGTTGGAGCCCTGATACCCGTTATTCAGAGCATTTTCTTCAAGAAGCTAAATTACTTCATTGGAATGGGAGATACAAACCTTGGGACTATCCCAGTGTTCACACTGATCTCTGGGAAAACTGGTTTATTCCTGACCCTTCAGGGAAGTTCAAATTAACTCGTCCCGATAGCTGATACGGAAACCAGTAATTAAATGCATTCGTACACTATGTTTTGCAGTATGTAATAGTTTGAGATGCAACATGTTGTATAATTACCCGATTTTAGAAAACTGAGTATTTGTTAAATATATGAATAAATGACCATCAGTTTTGTGTGCTTATGGCTGGAGCGACAGTTACTCAGCTCAGGTTATCTTGACTTTCACAGGAGGTGAGGAAACAAGTTCCCTTGACAATGAAGTATTTTCATTAAATGTTTACAGAGGTGAAATTCAGGGCCAGACAGCGTGTTTTAATGTAAGGTCTTAATAAATAAGACTCCAGTGTCTGCTGGTAGAAAAACCTACGCAGGAAATACCTGCAGTATTACATGTAAAGTGTCTATATTGTCTAGCCTGCACTAAAGAGTCTGAAATGAAAACTTATGCAGCATTTTAACGAGCAGAGTTCTGCTGCATGGTGACTCGGTGTTGCAGCGCTGCTGTGTATTACGTGTCCCGTGGTGCATTTAGACCCCCGCGAGCAAGACGCAAAAGCACATTCTCAGACACCGCAATACAATTCCTGATTTTTATTGTGAAACATTGATAGATTTAGGACAGATTAAGAACTTTTGTGTTACTGTAATGAAAAGAGCACCAGTTCTGAGGGAATAGACGTAGAATTGCAATATTTAGTGAAACGGTCATTGTACACTTAACTGTGTTTTATACCTAGGTACCCTAGTAGGTGGCTCTGTTAAAGAGAGCTTTCCCTGCCACTCAAACAGGATAGCCTTACAGTACTTATACCCTGCTGTGCTACATACTCAGCAGTGCTAGGTACATGCTTCTGGTTCTGTTGAAAAATAAAATTGAATCGTAACAAATCCCTGATGCAAGATACTTTGAGCACCCGCAGGAAAATGTCCATGTAAACAGCAATACATGATACAGTACACTTTTTAAATAACAGACAAGACAAATCCTATACCTGTTTGACAAGATACTGAACAGCTTTATGCTGAAGCTAATAAACACAATCGGAATCATGATGCACACTGACTTGATTTAAGACGCTCAGAATTAAGCCACGTAATTTGGGAAGAAAACTGTAAACATCGTGCCTGCCTCACACCAGGGTGACAGCGTGTGATCTCAGTGCGAGCTGTTACAGCAGGATTAGAATCTACGCGAACTGGTTACGCTCAATGCATGACAACTGTCACTGGCTGTGAGGAAAGGACAGAACACACTGGTACAGGCATCTCTGGCCAGTGTAGATTGTGGAGATACTGGTTGTATCTATTTTTCAAGTATGATGTGAAGCACCTACTGTCATAAGATCATCAAAACTTTAATGTTTTGATCAGCTTATTGCTTTTACTTCATCTCTTCCTCACATGATAAAAGAGGGAAAGAAGATGATGGTTAGGCACAAGCATGGAACCTCATTTCTTTCTCAGTCACAAATATTGGCCAAAAATGTGTATTGTTTAAGCAAGTTCCTCAGAAGAGAGCTGTAGTTTCTACAGCTGACTTCTTATTCATGGAACAGCTGCCCTTATATTTAACTTTTAGTATTTTTTACTTCTAAGAGGAATAAGGAGAACGCCCTCTAAGCTCTTACAGATTGAAGAGAACTCAATGTTAAAAACTCTCAGTCGCAAGCCTCTTTCACCCTGTGCTAACTGTACCTGATGTAAACAATGTACTTGTACACGGTTTTTACAGGGAACGCGGTCTTTCAGTTCCCTGCAACATCATCTGTTCAAAGGGGTTGTCTCCTGGGAAAGGTCAGGTGAAGAGACTAATCACACAGAAACGACAGTTTAAATGCCACAGAATTCAAGAACCGCCGTTGTTGGTTTGGATTTTTTTAAGTAATTCCAGTTCCTTACATTGGAATTCAAAGGGGAAAGAGAGAGAGTGGTAGGGACACCTTCCCTAAGACAGCTCAGCTCGAATATTTAGGCCCTGTCCTGCGTGACACAGATTTTCCTCGCCAGTGTTGTGACTTGAGATGTCGTCTCCACTCCCTTAATCCTGAATATGGTCCAATCACTAAATAGACAGAGCTCTCTCTTCCCACCCAGAAAACACTCAGCACTCACAGCTGCAGAACACAACTTTCTGCACTTTTTAAGAAGGTAAAAGGCAGACTTTTAAAAAGCACAATTCGCTTAACTGTGCATGATTAAAAACACCACTTCATGTAAGATAAGGGTACACTTGCCATTTTCCCCTCTGGATATAAAAGGATTATGAGATATCCAAATATGGAGGCATCAGTAAAAAGTATACTGCTGCTGTTACTAGTACATTACGATTTATGGAATAAAATTAACGCCCCAAAGAAATCTTCACAAATGAGAAAGCCATTTGTCAAAAACTGCAAGAAATGGTACACATTAAATATAAAACTCATATACAAAAAAGGGCTAACTTTTTTTAAAAAAGTTTGGACAGTTCCTTAAAATTATCTAGTTCATCGATTTGAGCCTACCACACACTTACTTTGGACTATAATAAAATAACTAGGAGAGATAAAATACTATTAAAATGCTTCAGTTGGAGAACCGAGGTACCAATCTTGATCACTGCATTAAAACTGCAGCATGTGTGCATAGCCGAGAAGAAACAGGTCTTACGCGCTGCTTCCCTCTTCTTCCTGCGTCATACCAGCACTGAACTCTGGAATCTGGTCTGCAAAGGACTGTGTCATCCATTGTCCATTAGGAACTTCCCCGAAGGACGACCCCTCACAGTACTGTGGATTGCTTCCTGCTAAAACAAAGTAAAATAATAGTTCACAGTTTAAAAAAATGCAGTTGATACCACTAACTAAAACTAAACGATGAAAATACGGATGACGCCACTAGCAAAAAAAACCTAAAACCACAAAGCGAATCCCAACCCCCCAAAACAACCCCGAAAAGAAAAATAAAAAAAGATATTTGCAGTTTCCATCTTTCCTCTCTATTTTTCAATCACCTACTCGGGCTGCAGTTCCCACATTTCTTTTGAGCATCTACTTTTGTAGATCCAGATCATTTCCTCAAATTATAATTTCTTCAAATCTGCTCTGAAGGGTGACTGCGTAGATATAAATTAGGAGTCTAAATGTTTAAAAGAATACCTCACTTTGCAGTGTGTCCTATGAATAAATTTTTTCTTCTGAAAAGGACATTCTCTTTGACAAAGTAGGGTAGACAGAATGCAAATTTCAATTCACAACCTGAGGTTAGGACTGAAAATTCAAGACTACTGAAGAAGGTGGTTACTCCAAGTTACTGCTTCTGCCATTGTTCTTCATTTTTTTTTTTTTTTAATTACAGTTGGTGCTATTTTGGGAAGCAAAATTCCCAGCTTCTTAATTACAGCTAGATTACTAGACTCGTCCTTCCAATCCTGCTCCTCCATCTGGCCCACCAGCAATGGAACCACCTCAATCGCACTGTTGTTTTATCTGTTCCACCATTCTCTTGCTTTGCTTTCCTTAGGAATGAAAAAAAAATGAAGTTCCAACCCTCTCTTTTGCTCCGAAAAGCATGATGCAGTTACGGAAGTCATTGTAGTTGAAGAGGTTTACTGTGTAAGTCGCTTGTTGTGTCTGTTTGTCAGATCTTGGGAGTCAGTCAGAGTTTGGGAAAACAGTTTGAAGTGGCAGACAGTTGATTTCAAATAAAGTAAATGACTTTTTTCTATTTCCCTCTCACAAAAACTATACATTCCCTCAATTACGTAAGAGTTTAACTGCTGCTATACGTCAAATATATTGTATGAATTGTGCAAGTTACTGAAAGGTAGAAAGTTAAGTATCTGTTTGTAAGTAATGGTTTACAGACTGAATGCCCCAAGCACCGCACGTTACCAGTTCCATTTGAAGAGAAACTGCACTGTTCACTTTCGTACGGTGCACGATCACAGTAAGCTCCTCCATACGCTGCTTCATAACCCGGATCGTATTTTTCTTCTTTGACAGCCATCTTTTTAGCATCCTCTGCCGAAAGAGAAGACCTCAAGTATTAATATTCAGAACAAAAACGATCAGAGCGTTTTTAATCAGAGAACACGTGAAAAAACAGCCACGCATTTTACAAGATAATTCCTGCTCCCCTTAGATAATTAAGATTCTACTAAAAAGAGAGCGGAATGTGTAATTCTACACCACATGATTAAGAGAAAATGGCACATCTCTTCCCTCCCCTTAAATTCTTTATTTCTTTTTGCTTGGGAAACTGCTGGTTGTTTTGTACATTACACTACATTTTAATAAAGGACTAACAAAATAACCACTATACCTTGTGCAAGTTGCAAGTCAAATGTGTACTGCACCTCCTGCACCTCTGTGTTTGGTGCGATGCCTTTCAGTTGATCCCTTAAGTCTTTCAGCTTTATGTAATAATGAACTTTGTCTTGCGCACGAGGAAACTGAGCGCATCTTGCACTGGATGATGGCATAACGTAGCAGAGCTTGAGACAAAGAGCAAGAAAAATAGCATTACTCGTCCCTGAACCATGAGCTAATATTTAGTGCATCGAGAATAACTTAACAGTTAAGCTCATTGTTTTAACTCTTTGTACAAACTTCAGCTAATGCCACGGGTGGTTGTGGGAGAGGATAAAAGGAGCCTTTCATTTTTCTTGGCCAGCTAGGCGTCTTGCCCTAAAGAGAGGGGCTGATGATCAGCTGCTGAAGCGAGGACATTTTCACCAGTTGTTTATGTGCTGCAGGAGAAGCAGTACCAGTAGGTGTTACAAGAAGTACAATTTACAAGTGTGTGCCGGAGAGCGGAGCACACTCCAGAGCTCCCTGAGCAAGCGGAGCTCTGAGCCAGGAAGCCCCCAGAGGAGTACGTGATAGCACGCAAGCACCCCCAACTGCCGAGGGTGGCATCCCGGGTTAATTACCCTGGCTTCTTGGCCAAGTGCGTCTGCATCACACTTGCCAGGGTTTGAAACTCTGGAGCTAGCGTGGTTGAAGCCAACAGCCCTAACTAAAGACATAAAGTTAGTTCAGGAAAAAGGAACTGTATCCAATACTTTCATTACCACGCAGTATTTATGAACAGATACTAGTAAAGAGGATTACTTATCTTTCTCACAAATATATCTACTGCAGAAGTCTTTAAGAGCTACTTAAGAAGCAAGCACTTTATCACCAACAGTTCTTCAGGCTCTGATGGCAACACTTCACCTTTAGAGAAGGACAGCTTAAACCGAGCTTAAACTTGCAGCATTAGTAATTTGGGATAGAAATAAAAACAACCCAAACTTTTGAACTGACAAGGTAATGATGCTTTGGAATAAGCTACCTTGGCAGGTAGTGCAATTGCTTTTGCCTTAACATGTTTATAAGAACATCTTAAACAAACCTATTTGTGATGATGCACAGCTGGTCTCTTGAGATATCTTCCAGCACTAGATGTCTATGACTAATGCGCTCTTCGTCAAACTGTTTGTTTTATCTTAAGTGCCCAATTTAATTTCAAGCTGCAGATCAGCTCACAAAGACTGAGTCTGGCGGAAGTGCTTGGGCATGTCCAGATCCAGTAACGCTATAGCTGTAGTGTGTAACAGCACAACGATGGACTTGCTAGTCTTGCTCCCCCACTGGGGCACTACTAGCACCATGGTTGTGTTCAGTATCAAAATTCAGTAATACAAACATACAGGGAACTGGACACAGAAAATCAGATGAAAGTAGATGATGGTTATCACAAAAGCACGTGTATTTTATTCGCATTTTAGATAGTCCTCAGAGAATGCACTAACCTACTAACCATAGTACACCACTTCCCAAATAAAGTCTGCAAGTCTGAAGAAGCTGCATTAAAGATGTGTCTGAAAATCGCGCTGTCCCCCTTTCTCTATTTAAGTAAAAGCCTTTCACATCCCTTGTACTTTGAGCCAACTTTGACGTTATCGTAAGTGTGTGAAAGGCCTGAGACTTTGTTAGTTTTGAAATAACCAAAATGGAGTGCCTGGCTTTTGTTTCTCAGTATCAATACTTACAGTTTCTGTATCTGGCACCTTGTGTGGCTGCAGTCCAAATTCCAAGTTCTTAACTTTTATTCCAAAAACTTCTTTACTAAAAATTTCATAAATACCTAAAATGAAAAGAAGATAGGATAAGTGGACAAAAAAAAAAAAAAAGCTACTGATGGAACAAATTTATTTAAAACCAGGGTTCTCACATTTTCCATTGAAAGCTGCTATACGAGGTTTATACTTTTGTAACTTCTGCATCAGAATTCGCCCTCCTTCCCGAAACTCTTTGCTAAAAGAGAAAGTACTCAAAATTATAATCACAACTATTAATTCATTAACAAGCACGATATTCCCCCCCTTGTTATCCTACCTGGAGAGGTCTTTGCTTCCAGGTGTTGTCCTTTCAACCATGTTTGTAAATCCAATCCCATATTTATGTGGCAAGGTGTGGTCATCCATGTGGTTCAGCTGTTCGTTACTTAGACCAGACATGAACAGACACTTCCCTGTAAAGCAGGAAGATATGCATCTGCCTTTTTCTAAGGAAAAGAAAACCAACACCCCCCCACCACCACCACTATCAGAGTACTGGAACGCTAAAGGAAGAGTCTGCTTCTTGGTAAAGGAGGCGATTAGTCTGGCTAGTCTGCAGAACACTGGAGAAATACCCGAGCCTGATCAACAAGTCTGCTGGACACCAGAAGAATTTTGACTGGAGTGTCACAGGGCTGCAAATTAGCCCACGTGGAGCCCCCTGCAGAGTTCAGGTATGATCTTTCTTTATGAGAACATGCTGCAGAAAACGTTATTTAAATGGAAAAATACCTAGAAAAAAAATACCTGTCTGGAGAATCAGGTATGCTAGATGCATATGCCTGCTGGGAAAGGGCAATGGTTTTCGCTTTTTCAACAGTTATCTTGTTTAGCAGAGGTGAATAAATGCAAACAGAAGAGGGCTTGCTGAAATGCATTTTTGGGAAAATGTGTATAGTTTTATTTTATATCAGAAATTGATGCCTATTGACTTACCCTTGGTAACTCAAGTACTAGAGATTTAATTTTTATTCGTCATGTTGCACACTAACAGGCCAAGAAGTTATTTGGTAATACGGTCTAGTAAACTGTGTTTACATGACAATTCTAAACCTGCATTGAACGTCACTGATTATTCCTCTTTTACTCCTTTTTATGTACGGTATTTGACAGAAGTAGTTATGGGATTTAAATCACTCTTGGACGGTTAAAAGAAAAATCCCTCTCTGCATCCAAAAAAAAAAAAAAAAGGCAAGAAACAAAACCCAAACCAGTTTAATTAAAATGCCACAAGTTCTAACAAAGTTCTGCAAACTCTATGAGAGGAAAGAAAACAAAAACGTACAAAAATGGTTTCCAGGTCCAGGGTAATGATGTCCTTTGTAAGCTGCCATCAAGCCAGGGTTTATGCCAATCTACAAAGATACCAGTCCATTTTAACAATGAGAACATGGCTCACTAGTCAGGAATTTAATCAAGTTACAGTAAGGACACTTATTCAATTCTCTTTAAGTTACTGTCAATAAACAAAACTGTGTTAATGGTACCTTCCATCATTACTTAAAAAAAAAATTGACAAGTTTATAGCAGTGTCTCATTTAGATGAGCAATGTCAAAAGAGCAGCTCACAGCCTGTTTTACAGCCACTGGTGTAGTGCTTCCAGTAAATAGTGTCAAGTAACGGTCTCTCATGACTACGTATTATATGTAAGCCTTGGACTTCTCAGAAGTTAGAACTATGTTACTATGATTTTTAACAGAAAACACAAAGCAGCTCTACACACAGGAAACAGTTTATATACTTTATCTTGCAAGATCTTGCCATGTAAGCAATATAGATAAGTAAGCAGAAGGAACGTAAATCATACGCAGTGAGCGCAGACTGTTCACTTTTCTACCGACTTTTGTAACTGTGAGTTACTTACTATTACAATGTCCAGATCAAAGGTCAAAATATCAGGTAAAGTCTTGGTTAGAAGTTCAGCTTCAGATACACCATTAAAACGGTCCACTTTTCTTTTGACTTTAAAAGTATCTGTGATCTTTTCTTGTTTGCCTTTTGACTTGGCTGATTTTTCCTTTTTAGCAGCAGGCTTTTTGGGTTGCTTTGGCTCAGTTGCTTTGGCTTTTCTTTTCCTTCCTCCTTTTTTAACTTCTGAAACACACAGCAAATATCCTTTTTGTATATTTCTAATGTTGCAGTGTGGATATTCAAAAAGACTAAATGTATGGACATAAAAAGAGATCAGATAAATAAATTTACCCTCAAAAATCATTAATTTAAACAATTATCAGATGAATCTTGGTTTTGCAGGCTGAACATAGAGCTAGCTTGGGTCTCTCTGTACCACAGACACACACACTACTCACAGGCAACCATGTTGATTTAGGATACAAACCAAGAATAACCTCATGAGTAGGTTATGTTGTTTACATGCTGCATGCAACAATCCTTTGGAAACAGTTTAATTTCTTTTGGAGGTTATGCCAGAACATCAAAGCTTATGTTCCAAGGAATGCGATACGAAGTTCTAGCCTACTATTCACACTTCAGCTTCTAAATATGGAAGTTGATTGTTACAGATTACACAACATACTGAAGAAACTGAACAGCATGTCCAAAGCAGAAGGTCTCAAAGATTACCTACAGCATAAGGTTTGTCAGGAACACAAACACACAGGCCAAACGCTACATAAGCTACTTACAATTTGTTGATTACAGAATAGATACTGTCCAGTGCATCATATAGCAAGGTAACGTATGAGAGCTTCAGGATCTCAATTTGCATGAGTGACACCAAACATTAATTTTTATTTACAAAACGCAAACATAAAGTAGTCACTGTTCACTCATTTGAAACTTCCTCATCTTCTGGCCGCTAACGCTTAGAGATTCAATCAGCACAGGTACGGATCATGACATGACGACCCAGAGATTGCTCTCTATCCTTGTTCATTAATAACATCGAGTTGCAGAACACAACTTCAAAAGTATGACATACTTAGCAGCAATCAGCAAAGAGTCAAGGTGATCTATTGCTTTAAAATTGAGACTTCATCTTATGTTCAAAATTTCTAGATGAAACTCTCCTTCAGATGAAAAATAAATACCGTGGATACCAGGGCACTGCCCTAAGTCTGCAAACTTTTTTTGGGCTGTTTTTGTTTGCACTCGGCTTTCTTACAAGAAGGACAAAAGTCATGTGAAATTCCCACCACGTCATGGGAACAACTGCTTAGGAGAGCTCTAAGTAACAGTACTCAAGCTATAGTCTAGTTACAGTGAAGAAGAGACTGCACAGACCTCGTGAGGCACATAAACAGCTTTTCTTTCCCACCCCTTGAAGAACCATGGGGTTTTTCATGTGACGGCAAAATGCCACAGATACATCCAACTCAGAGCAGTCGGAGTATTTCAAATGAAGCAGGACAATGTTCTCCTAACTCTCATGCTGATCAGGTACCTACCAACCAGACACTGTGATGAAAGATGAACAATGCCAGGGCAGCCTTTCAGACAGTAATCCTAAAAATTTTACTTTTTTCATCACAGCAGGTAGCTAGACTCCAAATCTGTGCCTTTCATATATGCTCTGGTAAATTTCACACACATTTGGTAAATCTTCAAGCCCTGCCTTTGAAGGCCTTACTCAACTTTCAAATCTTGCAAAAATATTAGGGAACAGCTTCATAACAGAAGATTACGGTTGTCTAAAAATACCTGAAAGTGCAGTCAAACAGTGTGCTCATGGTGACAGCATGTTATCCAATAATAAAGCTGCAAAAGAAGCCTGACTATATGGCACTTAAGATGCATCCTAACTATAGTGAGTAATACAGTGAATGAATAGAGCAGTTGCAACTGTTTGAAACTGGAGGTTTTCTTCCCATGATTTCATCTGGCCAAGCATTACAACTGAAAAAAAAAAACCTGAAGCTTATAAAAGGATGCACTTCAACAAGCATTGTCATTGCATGAACTGGCTGATAGATTACCTCGGTACAGAGAGCTCTGACCTGTATCTATATGTTAAAAGCAAGATGAAACTCAGTGTGTGAATATTTGCTACAGAATCAGAACTTAAGCATGGTAGAGATGACTGCCTTTTTTGTGTGGTAAAGAGCAAGCATAAGAGTAACAGAACAAGGGATCTTTTCTTGGCATGGTTAGCATAAAGCCTAAGCGTACAAAATCCTGGTGGGGGAAAAGAAAGGCAACGTACGAGTGCATAAAGTACAAAACTTGTGTCACATACAAGACACTTTCCAGCATTGTTTGTATTTGTTTAAATAAGCCTCACTAAAACAAACAATCCTTAGTGCATATAAGCAATTAACTATTTGTGACTACTACAACACACTAAAACACCATTTAAACAAAAATATTTCAAATAAACAGTATCATACTGTACTTCTCCTGCAGAAATAAAAAACAAAAATTAACTCAGACTGAAAAAAGAAAACTTTTCTAAGGTAATATTAAAAACCACAAAATCAACTAAAAATGATACGTTTATCTATTGAAGCAAAAATCTGCTTTTCCTGCAACAAGATAATTTTGTGAGCCTGAACAACGTGAACACTGTCACCTGGGTTTACATCCTATCTTTTTAATTGTCTGGTAACAAATGCTACTTAAAGAATACAATTAATGAATACTTCCTCAGAGAGCATCAAGAAATCCAATAGGCCCAAAGAAGCAGTTTAAGATGAATAATTTTTTCCCCTGATCGACTACTAACTTGCGATTTTAGCTCACTTAGTACAGCCCATTCAAACTACCTTTTGGAGGCTCCTGAGCAATGTTTGGCTCTGGAATGCCCTCTAGAGTCGGCTGCTCAGTCATGATCTCCATGCTAGGTGCTGCAGTCATCATTTGATGGAACGGAAATGCGTAGAAAGCTTGAGCTTGCTGAAGATACGCGTAGTATCTTAGAAAAGGAGAAAAAAAAGAGACATAATTTATCAACAATTCGGTACATCACTAAATTTCTAAGTAGACTGTAAACATCAGTCTTTATCAAAGCTGGCATGTACTGCACTTACATTCTCTGACGACTCTATTAACAAGGCAGTAAATTATCCAAATCCACTAAGCAGTCTGACTGCTTAGCTGGTATCAGGGGATGTTAAACCCAACATTAACAGCACAGTTCTCTTGTGATTACTGTAATGTGGAAGAATCACAGCATTTGTAACTGAAGCATACAGCTTTTCCCTTTTTTTCCTGAAAAAACACTCTGTAGCACACACTACCAAGGCAACCTGTCTATCGAACATGCCAACAATTTACAATACAAGCAAGTTAAAACTCTTTGGACTTCAAGTTTCCCAAGTTTTAGATTTTCTTAATGTTACATCAGTTACTTTGTCTGACACGATAGAGAATGGATGAATCACTCTGGGCTACAAAGCATTATGAATATACACAGCATTAGTTACTATGCAGATTATTAAACAGCTTTAACAAATCGTGTGGCAGATGTTGTCCAGTTATCGCACACTGGATCCCAACACGAATATTGCACTTATTCTACACAGAAGTGTTCACACACACAGATTCAGTCTCCTTCCATGCACAAAGACATTTTTCCATATACAGCTCTTTTGCTCCACACATTTATTAGTCACATACAGCCCTCACACCCCAACACAAACTTCTGCTTCATACTGTCATTCCCTCCTACCTACACAGCTGCCTTCTTGTCCATAGATTCTATTGCCACATAAAGACATAGAAAAGATTTCGTGAACAGTAAGTTTTCAGGAAATAATTTTATCACCTCAGAGCTATTCATAAAAACACCAAATAATTTTTAGATATATAGAAATATCTCAAAAGAAGGGACCATTCTCTATTACACAATGGGTATTTAAGAATCCCACTGTAAACCAGATTTATGCCAGAACAGCCTACAGTCTTGCGATCAGGCCGCTGATTTTGAACCAAATACCTGCCCTGAATCAAGGAGAATAAATTTCAACATAGGGCTGTCAGATTCCTGGGGAAGTTGCCTAACAAAGTCATGGAGGACTTTCAGAGTACAGTAAATACCTCAACCCCCCCTGCTGGAACAGTTCCATTCTATATAAAATACTTGTGCAGTTACTGAACAGAACAAAAGTGATCCTCAGATTTATATTAGGAAACACAACTGAGACATGTAGAATCCAGTTGATAATGTAATAAATGCTTAATTACACAGAGCAGAATGGAGTGAGTAAGAAAGACATCTAACCCAAGAACAGCCTCTAACAATAAGTCTTCTTATAATACACGCCTTCTTACTTTATGCGTATATAAAGTCGCCTTCTTATAAAGGGAATAAAATTCCCTTTAAACAGAGGAAAATTTGCACCATATCGTGGACAGGTCCTCTAACCACATGGTAATGAGATGAAAGAGAGCTTTTACCCCCACCTCTAACCCTCATATGTATTTTTTTATATCTTTTTTCTTGGACGGGTTCAGAAACACAATGTTTTGTTATTGATGTATGTATTACAGAACACATAAATAAACATTTACAGTTCCATGAGGAAAAGGTAGTGATTTAACCCCCCCTTCAGTTTATGCTAAAAATGAAAGAAAAAGAGAGCAGAGAAAAAGATAGTCCACTGGAACAAAACCAAATATTAAATAATTTAAAAATCCACCTCTACACACACAGGCCTCCGCTGCATCCATGAGCACGCACGTCTGTCTGAACACCCCGCAGGCCCCCTCCCCGCTGCAGCCCCAACGAACGCCCGCGCCCCTTCCCACCGGGGCTGCCGCCCCCCCCGGCCTGTTCTGCCGTCCCACTGGGTCAGACCGACACCCCCACGCCACCTCCC